ATATTTTATTCGATATATTTACATTATGATGAACAATATTTACACAATACATTTGGGATTGGGCAGAAAGCTATGAAAGCTTATGAGTGTCCTGTCCCAGGAAACGTATTTGTAACACAATAATATTATATGAAATATTGTAAGCTATGTATCCTAAAATTTAATTATATTACAACATTTGTAAGTTATTTAAAAATAAAATCAAACACTACATGTATTGACATATTTACATTTTCATACCCCATCAATATACTGTAGGATCATAATTGTGAAGGAACAATATTGTTTTATTTAATGGGAACAGAGAAAATTTATGCACCTTGTCAATCGATATTAAATATCCCCTTGAAATACCAACTCGAATGTTGCCCGACGTTTTTTAAGAGGGAACGTTTATTTATTATTATATTATCGGACAACGAAGGATTTTCGCATGTTATTTAACCAATCCTATTTTTGCAAAAATTATCATAGAATTTATAATCTAGTAATAATGCAATAATAAAAAGTAATCGGGAAATCCTGTGTTGAGTGATAAAAATAACAAAATGTACAACGTAAACAATATTGCACTGAAATTTATTTTCAAGATATAACTTGTATAAAGAATAAAATATGCACGAGTTTTAAGTGTTATTAAAGGAAACTACGTGTTAAAGGTTTTGTATGTCTTGTCGTATTAGGTAAAATATTAGTACAAAAAAATCAAGAAGGACAGACACCCTTTACTGATCATTAACCTCTTATCAAATAAAGAAATATCGATTAAAACATATCTTTATATTAAAATATACAAGTAACTTTATTAAGCAGGATTTAAATCTATGTATTTGTGGTTCAAATAAAGTACGTGCTTTAGTCATGTTGCGTATGTCAAATTTATTACGCCTTTTTCAAGTGCAAAATGTACGCAATTGAATTCTATTTTAGATAAATATCACAATAACAGTAAAACATTGTTTATTATATCTTCAAGCTCCATACACAACACTTGTCTAACTGCCATCATAAAAACTACTTTGCAATCGGACTTTAATTATGAATTATAGTATCGAGGACAAAATCAATAGATAAATTGTAAAATATAACAAAGAAAAAATATGTAAATGTAAAAATAATATTTCATTAAGTTTCGAACCTACAAACTTCAATTTGAAACTGAATGTCTTAACACACTCCCACTGAGGCTAATTAGACAGTTAGACATGTGTTATGTTAGCAGCTTGAAGATAAAATAAGCCATGTTTTACTGTTATGTTTTACGTTTAAATCCGTGTGATTTACTTTGGAAACCGATAATTACCGACAAAATGTCATTGAAAATTAAACAATTGCCAAACAATATTTTAATAATTATAATCCATTTCAGAAAGCAATTATGCCAATATGTTTCTGTTTAATAAGTTTTACTTTCTTGTGGAATAACATACAGCAGGTCTTTTACTTATGATAACAATCATTTCACTTTCTTTAATATATTCATATATAAACGTTATCGTGATTATTTAATTGATTTATGAATATATTTGTAATTATGTCAGTTATGCAATTAAATGTAAAATTGTGATCTATTGTTTTTGATAAGGAAAGAATTGTGGATAATAAATGAATACGATATTCAATTTTTAAAGAGAGACGGTATCAACAACTTTGGTATATACAAAATAAAATCAAACTGATAAGAAAACGTAATGTGAAACATCATACTTCACCATTTAAAATTAAATGTAGCTATGTACAGAGTGAATGGTTCGTTAACCCTTTCCCCCATGAGCATATTGTGAAAAATGGCCGTTTTCACTGAAAAGCCTCCTGTTACAAGTTCAAACTGCTATGAAACTATGAAAAATGCTTCAATACTAATCAAACTTGGCACAAATGTTGACTGGACCATTGCCTTTGTAACGACATGCTCAGTCTTAAATTTCCTGTTACCATGGCAACGAGGGGGCATCTCAAAATTGCCAAAAATCACTATTTTGCCTCGATTTTTTCCATCAAAATTTATTTCAAAGTGCTGCAACTTCTCAAGGGATTGAGATAGAGTCAAAGGCTTTTCAGCGTTGGTTAAACGTTACATTATGATCGACCTGGGGTCATTTTTAGCCTCTCACAAGTCCAAAATTTTCTTGGCGATGAGGGGGACTCCGCCCCCCTTCAAACACCCCTAACAGAAGGGGGCACATCCCCCTTCTGGCAACCCCTGATGTATCTTTTGGATGGGGGGCGGCGCCGAAAAAGTGCTCAATTTTTTTAGCAACATTTCTCAAACGAAAACTTATGTTTTGGGCCCAAATAGGACATTTTTTTTCTATTTGAGGCCCAAAAAAAGGGGGGGGGGTCGAAAGTGCGTTGTTTCGCGTATATATGTGGTAAAGGGTTAAGCTTCAAATGTACGTATGTCCATGAACCGTTTCAATATAACTTAATATTAGTAGATAAATCTTAAAAAAGGAATATATTTGAAACCATTCTATCCTCAATAGTAAATTAGATTAATAAAATGTTAAACTATTGATGATTGCATCTCATAATAACGTTTTACGATCTGAAATATATTTTAAATCTATAGTTTCCCTCTAACTGCTTTTTTATTCTGAACTTATTAATCAATTAAATAATGTGAAAGATTCAAATGTCATTTTTATCATCAGCATTTTGTTTACCGTTTCATTCAGAAAATCTTTTTATACTGTCAGGAGAATGACTGTCTTGATGCTATTTAATCTAAGGAAAGATTTATAATAAATACTAGAACCAATTTCCAAGATACTGGGGCTGGACAGCACCGCCAGACATAAAAATTGAAATATTCTCGGTAGGAAAAACTAGGATGTAATTGTTTAGTTAACACTATTTTTTTAGGTATTTTATCTTTTTTATCTATGATCCATATATACATTTAAACAACAAACATCATTTATCAGCCACTAGTACGAACTATCTTTTCACGTACACGTCTCTTATACGAAACAATACTAGACACCTGGCGTGCCCAAGCTCTAAACAAGTTACTGTAATGATCAAACAAAACAATAAAATCACCACAAAATAAAGAACACAAATATATGAATATTTTTACAAGTCTAAGATACAATATAAACCACAAACATTCAACATACTATATTAACTTCTCAACAAGAGCCACCGCCGGGCGGGTGCAACGCTCGAATTTTTACTTTCTCTAAAAGCAAACAAAGAAATGTTTGAACAAAATCTTAACGTTTCCTTTTTATAAATATAATCGGTCTATCTTGTCACATTAGTTTTGTCTATATATTTTGTATATATAAATATACTAATTTATATATATATAAATAGAAACACGCAATTCTATAAATAGAAACACGCAATTCTATAAATAGAAAATTCTATAAATAGATACACATTGGTGGTGACACGTGGTGATGACACGTGGTGGTTACACGTAGTGGTGGTGGTGACACGTGGTGGTGTTGAAACGTGATGGTGGTGGTGACACGTGGTGACGATATTTGGTGACACGTGGTGGTGGTGGAACGTGATGACCTGTGGTGGTGACATATATTGACACGTGGTGGTGGTGGTGGTGACACGTGTTGTTGTTGTTGTTGTTGTTGATGATGATGATGATATATATATATATCGCACGAAAAATCAGCACGCCGCAGCCGGGACTCGAACCACGGCTCTCTGGATTGTCGGTCCAGTATGCTAACACCACAGCGGCCGTTGCTTTTTCTTCGTGCTAATTGGCCTTATATATTTAAGTTATATTTAACTTAATTGTGACGTCATCACTTTTATTACCATAGCGGCGAACACTCTTATTGTTTTATAAGACCATTCCCGCCCAAGAATGAATATATATGAAAGAAAGAAAGACATTAGCGAGAAATAATACTGCGGTAAAAGAAGCTATAAATAGCTCGCCGCTATAATAATAAAAGTGATGACGTCACAATAAAGTTAAAACTAACTTAAATATAAAAGGCCAATTAGCACGAAGAAAAAGCAACAGCCGCTCTGGTGTAGTGGTTAGCATACTGGACCGGCAATCCAGAGACCCGTGGTTCGAGTCCCGGCTGCGGCGTGCCGATTTTTCGTGCGATTTTTCTATGTATTATTTCTCGCTCACGTCTTTCTTTCTTTCATATAGATTCATTCTTGGGCGGGAATGTTCTTATAAAACAATCAATGTGTTTGCCATAAGAAAATTTATAATAGTGACTGAGTCAGCCAACTGCTATATATATATATATATATATATATATATATTAAGTTATATATATACGCACACACACCAATAAATATACATGGTCATATAATGCACAAATTTGAGAAAATTCAGTAATTTAACCTACAAGGTCAAGGTCATAAAAGAGCCCAAGTGTTTGATAAAAAACAAGGTCTTGTCCTTAAGTATGTTCTGTTATAATATGAAGGTAATCCCCTCAATAGTAGCAAAGTTACAGGCAGTTACAGCCAAAACAATGAAAATTCAATAATTTGAACTTCAAAGTCAATGTCATTACTGAGTGAAGGTCAATGTCTGGATGGTTATTGTTAAGGGTTATCCTTGAAGGTTAATATGTTCAAGTTTGAAGACAATCCATTCAAAAATAACAAAGTTACAGCCAATAATAGTCAAAAAATGAAAATTTCAATAATTTGACCTTCAAAGTCAAGGTCATTTATGAGTGAAGGTCAAGATCTGTCTAGCTATTTTTAAGAGTTATCCTTGAAGATTCAAGTTTGAAGACAATCCATTCAAAAATAAAGTTACAGCTAATAACAGCAAGAACAAGCAAAATTTGAACTTTTAACCTTGTAGGTCAAGGTCATTTATGGATGAAGGTCAATGTTAGTGTGGCCTACTGCAAGGTCTTGTCCCAAGGGTTGTTGTGGCCAAGTATGAAGTCAATACACCAAGAAATAAAGAAATAAAAAAGTTATGATCCTGGTACAAGTTTGCGGACGGGAACGGCAACGACAACGGCAACGCCGCCGCGACTATAGCAATACCTTTACTTTTATTCCGATTCCAAAATAAAAAAAGTTGGGTTAAAAATACGAACGTCACGATCGTCATCCGACGATGAGTCGACATTATTGTAATCATCCTGATCGTATGTATGTCTACAGAGAACTCTTGATGTCGTCTTGCAATGTTGGCTATCGACGTGACAACAGAGCATGGATTTTGGGAGAAATATTTCAAAACAGCTTTTTTGAATAGGCTGTGTTGATAAAATCGCTCCTTCTTTTGGCAGTGGCAACTGATTCCATACTATCGATTCCCATACTACAGGTTTCCGAGAGACCAATGTTTGGAATGGAGTATATTCTAATATATAATTTTCTCTGTAGTTTGTCGTATAATATCGAAATAGCATCTGACTGCATATGAAATATTCAATTTTTGGAACATATAATATGTTCGAATGGAATTTCTTCTACCAGGTATTTGAGAAAGACACTCGCCCTGCATTCGTATAAAGGTTATGCATCTCTTATTATCGTAGATTACAAATCCATCTTTAATCGGAGCAATTTCATCGCTGTCGCTGGTCCATTGACTTTCTCTTTCTAAATGTCCGTCAATAAGATCATACATTGCCACAAACTGTCGTGACTGGAAGATGATTGCAATAGCATTGTCACTGATTGCAAATTTTAGTATTGTGTCGTCTATGAATGAAAATAGTGGTGACATAACAACGTTGCTTTCACCAATATGCCCAATATACAGCGTTGAAATAATTATATTTTCAAACGTCCTTCTTCTTCTTATTTTCTCTCTCATTTGCAATGCACGTGACTGCCTTTCTGATGTTAGTCCCATCGTAGACATATGTCTGAACTTGTGGTGGATATCACTTAAACCTGACCTCTTTTTTGGATTTTGTTTTCTTTCTATTTCTATTTCTTTGTTTTCAGAAACAATACACACGTTCCCGTCAAATTTAACATTGTCTGGCATTTCAATGCTAAGGCCCTCTTCTTCGCTCCCGATTAAATTCATTTTTGTACATGCATCATTCGGCAAATCTAGCAGCACAAAACTCTTCTTTTGGCAGCTTCTTCTTATAGAACAAACTATTGATCCAGCAATGTTCGTGCATGTCCCAGAGATGTCAACAATGCGATTCGATCTTTCTTCTTTCAATGAATTTGATTTAACTCGAAACCACTGATCTCTTTCCAAATCTAAACACCAGAATACATAATTGTAGTTAACATCTTTTATAATGAGAACTCGATGATCATTTGATTCGGCAGGTGTCATATGTTCTGATTGTATATGACAAGCTACATCTGGATTTTGTAAACACGCCTGTAAACATTGATTTGAAATTGAATGGAGATCTATATCTTTTAGTAATTCCTTAATATGAGCCTTCCTTAAACCTGGATTTGCATCTAACCACCTAAAAAGGAACAGTAACCTGTCATCCATTGGCACGCACGATAGCCGTTTATCAGAAAACAGCAAAAGCATGGAATCTTCTGTCAAGTTTACCATTTCTGGCAGATGTAACAGTTCTGGCAGGTGCTCTTCAATGTATGTTGTACAGCTCGGTAATTCAAAATCGAAAATGCTCGACAGCTGTAAGAATTTCATGCAGTTTTCTCTAGTAATAGAAATAGTTGTCAACCAGGCTATGCAGGCAGACTTTAAGTTTGGAATGAGAAGAAACTCAGCCATTTGAACTATATTTTCGATATTTTCATCGTTGAATTTGGGCTTCTTACCATACAGATACATAATTGTTGTCTCGAGTGTTACAGGTGTTCCTATTTTTATTTCAATTATACCTGTAATTAAAAATTAAATAAAATGAACCAAAACTTAGAATATGAAGGGTAGCTCAGTTCTACATCAAAGTTCTCTGCAAAATCTCAATTTTAAAGTATTTAACTAATTAAATAAGTAAATGTTCTTCTTAATGTAAATATCTGTTTTCTTTCTAATATTATTTTAAATCCTAATGTTTCAAATCTATCATTTCTGTTTTATCTTGACTACAGAACAAAAAAACTACCTGTCTGCCCTTCCAGGAAATTGTCGTTGAGAACATGGCCGAAGAAAGGGCTTATTGCAAGAACACATCGATGGAACTTCTTTTCCTGTGTAAATATCAATTTTAACGATTGAAGCAGGGTAAAGTAAGAACAATCTTTTGATAAATTAATAAATGACTGCCTATGAAATAAATGTTTTTGTTCAATTGGTACTCACTGGTTTCGTATATTTTCTTTTCAAACCAAGTTACGATTGTAAAGACTTTATTTAAATATAAAATAATGCCAAAATCAAGTGTTCATTATGCCAATAATCATAGATTATCATAAGTTGGTGATAATACTTGTAATGATATACATTTCTTGTCTTGCACCTTAAACAGGTATTGTACGGTGATAAAAACCGATTAAATGGTTAAGGACATGGATTTGTTAATGAATTAAAAACAAATTAACAAAAAGCACTGAATTCGTAAAAATTGCATACTGATCTTTTTTATTATTATTATTTGACAGTACACCTGTACATTTTATAAATCTTATTTAATTGAGGTTCGACTTTATAGAAACCAATAATCTATAAGCAGAATCCGATATTACTTGGTTAATTCCCGTGAGTAAAAAGTTATCAGATAAACATTTTAAAAAAATGATAAAAAAGAAGGCACAAATGCCTGCGGTCCAGATTCTTGTCAGTAACACATTTCAAGAAAAGGTTTCCCCATTCAGATATGGACACAAAAATTGCTTGTATAAAAAGGTAAAGGTCTTGGTTATTATAGTGTCACCCCTACTGAAAGGGCCAGCCATTTTGACTCATGAGACACCTTTTGCTTGCATACCATGTACCTCCCAATTCCTATCACTATGCCAGGCGGATAGAATTCGGTAACCATTCATTTTAACTACCTCGCGGCCCACGAAGCGGCCATTTCGGAACGAGTCCCACGAGAAACATTCATCCTTCAATTAACGCTCCCCGTGGGGCTCGAACCTTCGACCTCCCGATCAGAAGGCGGACGCCTTAACCACTAGGCCAACGGTACCGGTTGTATATGTCGGAATATTTCAACTTTCGGTATTGTATAATTACAGCACCATGGATCGTTATCGGCTTTTGTAGATATTAATGGTATTGGGACTTAAACATGCTAAAAATGTGAAAAACAATCTTGTTACTTGTCCTTCTTTCTTTTTTTTTCTTGTTGTTGTTGTTGTTTTTTCTTCGGTTTTAATGAATAATGTTGGTCTGATATTTGTTCACCCTAAACTTGATTTTGTGATAAATAGTTACATTATAGTTTGATGGGTGTGTTGTATTGACTGTAGTTAAAAAAAACGTTTATATTGTTTATAATTGCAATTAGATTCTAAAATTGTGTCCAAATTATTTCGTTTGTACCGCTGCTTTAATTTCTCATTTTGAAAGATATCTAACGATATCATATAAAAAATGACCCTTGTTTGATATTGTCATTAAAACTTGCAATTCAAAAAAACTCTTTTTGTATTTGTACAATATCGCGTGTCTATGTGCGATTAAGCGATTGTTTACTTTTACACTTCGTATACAGACACATACAGTATCAATATAATTGTCATTGCATTTTTTTCTTAATTGACGTGTATATATCGAAACTTAATGATTACAACGAACACACATTATAAGTCGTCTGTATTTTTAACCGGAAGAAATGTAACATCAACAGATATTGAAATGAGCCGCGTCACGAAAAAACTAACATAATGGGTTTGCAACCAGCATGGATCCAGACCAGCCTGCGCATCCGCGCAGTCTGATCAGGATCCATGTTGTTCGCTATCAGTATCTCTACTTGTAATAGAGTTGGTAAGCGAACAGCATGGATCCTGATCAGACTGCGCGGATATGCAGGCTGGTCTGGAACCATGCTGGTCGCAAACCCATTATGTTGGTTTTGTAATGATGCGGCTCAAATGTTGTTAATGATGTACTCATATCATTAAAACGCAGAAATAAAACGCATCGATTCGAGAATAAGACACCGTAAAAATCTAAAACCCCTTATTTTTACACACAAAAAAGAATATTAAGCCTGAAGAAATAAGCACTTATTATTTTTTTCTAAAACGACGAAATTAAGCATTACATTTAAATCGAAAGGTTATAACGAAAATTTATTCGAAACAAAAATATGGCTGGATAATTCAGCAAGACGGTGTTAACGTAATCAAGCGTATGGACCAGGGAAATGAGCTGCTTTATGTAAAAGAAAAAACAAAACGAAAACATATATTTTGTCTCATTCATCAAATATGTTCACAAGCAATCAAATTAAATACTTGAAAATAAATATGACAGTAAATATAGATCATATTAGATATCGTATGAACTAGCTTTATTTGTAAAGTAACAAATGATACTTTGCAACTGGTCAAATACGAGTTTAAATAATGATAATAATGATGATGTAAAAAACATACCCATACTCCCATTTTAACAGTGACATCACAAACGTTCGATTGTTCGTTAACCTGTTGAACGAGAAACGTGCGGTTTGGTTCAGGTTTAGTTTTTCCGGCATCGTATTCCATTGCAAATTGACTGAAAAAAATATAAAACATAGATAGAATATTTGAGTAAAATATTTCTTATATTGCCAGTAAACATGACTTTGACCCCAGTAAGTGTAAATCAATGTTTGAGAGGCAAAACTCTTAATCACTAAGCCATCGATTCCTATGTTACTAGCACTGTAAACTTACCTTAATGTTGACCTGTTGAACGAGAAAGTGCGGTTTGATTCAGGTTTAGTTTTTCCGGCATCGTATTCCATTGCAAATTGACTGAAATGAATATAAAACATAGATAGAATATTTGAGTAAAATATTTCTTATATTGCCAGTAAACATGACTTTGACCCCAGTAAGTGTAAATCAATGTTTGAGAGGCAAAACTCTTAATCACTAAGCCATCGATTCCTATGTTACTAGCACTGTAAACTTACCTTAATGCGATATTTATCTTTGAATAAATTTGATTAAACATTCCGATACGTTTCTGAAGTTAATAAGAAATATTTTATGGTGATGTTGTACAATTTAATCATTTTTACTAATTGTCATGTTGATTGTTTATCCAAATCAATATGTTGTATTTCTTTTGATAAAAAATAATGTTCTATTAAGTTAGTACAAAATACGGTACTATACCTTGAGAATCGACTTTCCGATTTATGTATCACTATGAAATACCAAATCAAAACTTCGAAAAGGAAAATATTTCTTATTCGCGGAAAACTTTAAGTATATTTACGGTTTTAGAAGTAGTTTGTCATTAACTAATACAAAGGAAATGTGACTATCACGCTTTTAAGTATACGGAAATAGCCATTGTTTACACACATTACTCACAACGAGATAGCTTAGTGTTCCTTTAGGGCCATCGCGTTTTCCTTGATAACGATTAGCGCAAAGTATGACAGAACGGTGGTGGCAATATGACACTTCGATGGCGAAGCACGACATTTGATGGTGACAGTCCATGGTACTGCCGTCTTGTCACCTTCGTACTGTCACCTTCGAACTGGGATTTGTATTTGTACGAGGGATGATATTCTAACAGTTACTGACAAACCCATGTGTTATTTATGTTATTCCCCCGGACAAATAATGTAATGAGTAACAAAATGAAACCAAGAGTAACAATAATTTAACTTCCTTGCAAGTTTTAAGTGTGTTGTAGGCCTACTTGAGAAGTTATTGTTTTTATTCTTTAAGCAAGTGATGATATCTACTAGTCATAAACATACAATATGCTGTGTTGTATTTAGAAACAATTATAGGCCCCAATTTATACGATTATGATCTGTGAAATATGATCCTTCTGTCTGCAGAATATTCATCGCATTGTTTTTGACAAAGTGCATTTACAAAATAGCTATGATATCCTATGTCTGTCCACCATATCTATAATGTTTCACTGAATAATCCTTTGTTGCATGTTTTTATCGTCTGCATGTTCCAGTTTAAAACACAATCATTCACATTGCAATTACTTCGAAATGGAAATGAAAACGGATGTTTACTTTTGGACTATTCATCAAAAATATATTTTATACGCGTAAAGCACTCAAGGGTGCAAACAACAAACTTTTTTATGGCTGTCATAGGTACTCTGGTGATGCCCTATCCTGGTAAACTAAAAAAATAAGAATGAATCGAGAAAAAATGGCGGCCATTTTATTTTATTAAGTTAATTGTCCTCGCAACCAGCTTTTATACTGTTAAAAAGTACAGTTACCTATGTAACAGTACAAATGTCTTAGTCACTTGGTGCACTTGCATTAATAGTAAGAATAACTCCCAGAGATCTATGTGAAATTAACATTACGAATAAAGTAAGAGGTGATAATGTATTATGCACATTCTTAACAGGGAGGCGATAGTACGATGGTGACAGTATTACAGTGCAATGGTGACAATGCGACAGTACGATAACTTATCACTATCGTACAGTCATGCTTTACAATTTTCTATCGTACTATCAACATTGTACTGTCCCATCGTACTGTCAAACTTTGGCATCATACTGTCAACCTCGTACTGTCGTGCTTTGCGCTTTTCGCGCTGCCCTTAACTAGACATCATACTTAGCAAACAACTTTAACACTTTCAGATTTATGCTTATCTATAACCTTTGTTCGTTTGGTAATAAAGAAAATATTCGTGCGTTTTAAATATTACTATTTACGGACAGTAAAAGTAAAACGTTTTACACATTATCAGATATAGAAAATTATGAGTCAGTTCATAGAACTATTGGTGAAGAGCATGGCTTTGTTTTGCTCCAGTGATTTTACTGTTTATTCGTTACCAATAATGATAATGTGGTTATCTAACTATACACATCAGTTGCTGATTCTGTAAAATTAGTTATCTTTGATTGTATTTTTGAATATGTCATTTTTACGTAGTTGTGAAATCCTTACAGATGTTGATTATGTTTTTATTATTTCTGAAATTTATGCATGCAGAATTTGAAATTCATTCCGGTGCGCAAACGTAGAATGATATGATCTTTTGATCTTTTTTCGTTTATTTTTTATTCTCTAAGTATGGCACATTTTTCTTTTCTTTCTTTCTTTCTTTCTTTTTTCTTTCTACCTTCAATGGTTCCACATTTTTTAATTGTATAATATATCATATCTTTGCACTTTATAAATGTAAGATCAAAAGCAACATTGAATAGGTTAAGCAATATGTGTGTAGTTACACTTACTTAGATTGACACTTAATGAACCAACAAAAGGATTGTTTACGTTTAAACCTTAAATGTTATAAAATAGGGCATGCAAGTATGGAGTAATTTAAAAAGGCCAGAAGCAGTAACTCATACAGTGTTAACAAGCATGTAGTTATTGAGTGGTCCCCCATACCATAAAAAAGAAACAATATATGTTTTACATTATTTGTGGTTGAAAGTGTAAACTGAAACAAGTTAAAGAGTTTAAAATTGTTTGTAATGGACATATAATTAAATCCACAAAATCTGTCAAATATCTAAGTTTAAATATTGATGATTTTTTGTCAGGTGAATCTATTGTTAATAGTGTTCCTACAAAGGTAAATTCACGTCTCAAGTTCTTGTATAGGCAATCAAATGTTTTAGATTTTAGGTCTAGAAAACATATATGCTCAGCACTAATACAGTGTCTCCTCAATTGTGCATGTTCTTCTTGGTAACCGAGTCTGAACAAGTGTTTTAAACGTAAGCTTCAAATTTGTCAAAATAAAATTGTTAGATTTATACACGGTATGGGACCTAGAGATAGTGTCAATAATGTTATTCTTGCTAATATGTCTTTATTAAATTTAGAAAACAGAAATAAGCAATATATAGCGTCTTAATCGTGTTTTTAAAATTGTTTATACCCAGTGCCCTTCGTATATGAAAGAAAATTTTGTACCTGTTAGAGACATTCATTCTTATTCAACTGGGGCGAATATAATGTTTTTTTTTTCAAAAAGCAAATAATAATCAGATTTTTTTACAATAGGCATAAAAACATAATAAGATATGAGATTACAAAAGCTCAGTAAAGGCCCATTTACATATTGATCTTCATTTTTATTGTTTCCAGTCAGTAAAGTAAAAGAAAATATAAAAATTAGCATAATAATTTATCTAAATGACATCTTTCAGTTTCCAAAGTTTTTTTTCAGTTTTTTTGTTTTTATATTGTATATTCTAGTAAGTATATATCAAATACCCCATTGGAAATAAGCCTTTGGGCTTTCATGGGCAGTCCGTGGTTATTGCACACTACTTTATACATGCTTTCAGGCCAGGGTATCGCATTGCAACATGACCAGCGATTGGCAGGGAAAACCGTATGATTCAATTTATACATGAGGTGATTGGATGAAAATGGGGTATTTTTCAGTATAAAAACTAATTTAGAAAGTAACACTACATTGTTTTCTAAAGAAAATGAAATATTTCATGAGTCTCTATGATAATTTTGACTTGGATATGTGCATTTATAAAGTGTATGTCAAATTTCAATGAAATTGGGGGTAATCTTCATTGAAGTCATTTTGCAAAACATTTGGTTGGCTACCCCTATATAACAGGAACATTTTTATGTGTCAGGCATTTCATTCTGCTCGAAAAATCACCTCTTTAACATGAAACGTCAATTTTAAGGTAGAATTCGGGACCATTTCTTATAATGTAAGTCTATGGAAATATCAGTGTGGGTGTCTGACCTTCACTTACGTTGTCACATTATCATTTATTGGTAAAGTAATATCTAGTCCAGGGAGAGAAAGGTAAATTTGGTCTTTTCTGAAATGTACTTTTTTTATATAATACAGAAATCACGAAAGTACGAAACCTCGAGAAAACGACAAAAACGCGAAAGTACTCTATTGAAGATGCGAAAATGCTATCTATAAAGGCTATGACGAAAATGCGATAAATATCGACTTCAATAATTCGAGTGTTCTTCATTTTGTCTTAGCATCTTCATCATCGCACTTTCACATCTCCGTCCTAGTACTTTCGCGGATAGCAAACAAATTAGGTTTTTTTATCGACTACCCGTTGTGACCGACTTCTCGCGATGATTTTATAAACTTTTATATATAACACACGCACGCACGCGAACACGCGCGCGCACACACACACACACACACACACACATCAAATCAATAAAAATCTAACGACGAATCGTTTTTTAATAGATATGCATGTACCTAATGTGTATATAAATTACTTTAAGGTATTCCTCTAGCAACGGTCTGACTTCAGAAAATATTTTTCAAAGAGTTAGGTAAAGATATCAAACAGTTTACTATATCTTAGGCATGAGTGATTTTATCTTTGTAACTGTTTATAAATCTAACTTTTTCTACAACTTACTTCATAAAATTATTTTGAATTTTATTCTAAATATTCTATTTTCTGTGGTTCACATATATATATACTAGAACTGTGTTATATTTGATTTTATGATATTATATTAAAACACTACAGAATTTTCCCCCTTCAGAAAAGAAATGACGTTGAGATCCCTGGAATACTCCTTTGACAGTTAAAGATCCTGTACGTTGTATTTAAGAAAGTAAGAAAGTGCAATTTTATATATGTATATAATTATTCTTCTAAAACAATTGCAAAACATCCAAGAATATGTTAAATATGTACTTCAAATGTTCATTTGCATTAAAAGTAATCATTAAAATATATGCACTCATTTCTTATTGAAAAATTTGGCTTAGACTTTCTCGAAAATAGATTTCCAATTACCTCCTTTTATTTTCATGATAATTTAAATTCGGTTATATCTTTACAAATAATGCATTTTGGAACTTACAATATTGATAATTCTTCATTTTGGGCGTCAAATTTATGATATAAAACCATAAAAACAATTGAGTTACAGAACCTTTAATGCTACATGTACACTTTTATGTGCAACTGAGATTAACATCCTTTAAAGCAGCTTTCTATATTTATGTGATTATTTTACACGAAACACAAACAAACATCAGTGCTTTCTCATAAAGTCTATGTTAAACAACAAACAGAGGATATTGAATGTGTGTAGATTCAATACAGAATTTGTTGAACGAGTTGAATAAAATTATATTGTGGGAGCTACGAGTTCAATAAATTCAATAATGAATTCAAACAAATATAATATTGTATTTCTCTCATACCCAAAATAAAAAATGGTTCAAGTGAAAAAGAGTCATTCTTTCATTTATACGCTAACATTTAGCGCATATTTACACTATGTTTGTATAACGCAAATGACGTCACATCACATTATATACACGGCCATGCAATACCATTTTTACGGAGTCGCAAATCGGCTCGGGTATGTGACAAATTGAAATTTCTTTTGTAAATTTATGTTTCGTTTTTAAACAAAGTTTCTTCATTATAACGCTATGTACTAGGATCAACAAGAGGTCACTTCTTCTGTGATAATTAACTAACTCGGTTGTATTTTCCTCACTACTATATACGAATAATGGGTATATGTATAATGTAAAACGAGGCGCCTTATCACTTTTCATTACTTACCGTAAATGAAAGTGAAAATGTTATGTCTGTAGTAAGCTGTAAAATTTACGATATGTGTGTGACAACGAATGAAAAGTGTACTTTTGTAAAGGAAAATGTAAAGGAATATACTTGGAACTGGCAAACTTTTAAAAAGAATAAAATCATAACATTTGTTTGTGTAGTTAAATTGTATAAATTCGGAAAATATACACTAATATATTTAAATTTGAATTGAAGGAAACATAATTTGACATAATTTTATGAAAAAGAAACGTTTCTGAAATTGTGTTTTTAAATGTATGTAATGACTGTTAAAATACCAGGGCTATTTTAATATATCAATATACAAGAGTTAAAAGATATACACGTACTGGTATAACTTTGAAAAAGTTGTTGTGTGATTTAATTCGGTTAATGCATTTTGGAACTTACAATATTAATAATTCTTCATTTTGGGCGTCATATTTATGATATAAAACCATAAAAAAGAGTTACAGAATCTTTAATGATACATGTACACTTTTATGTGCAACTATGTATGAGATTAGTATCCTTTAAAGCAGCTTTCTATATTTTTGTAATTATTTTGAACACAATCAAACATCAGTGCTTTCTCATAGTTGCTGGGTCATATGGAGGTTGCGTTCATTGAACGCCGCCTTTCCTTGTTGATCTTGTTTATCATATTTTACTCTATACTATCATTTAAAAGGAATATATCTCTTTGAAATACTGGCATAAATAATTACAAAAATTATAAACATGAAATACAGAAATTTATTTATATATGTTATATGTATGTATAATTATAAGTTCTGTCGTTTCAGGTTAAGAATAAATATCTCTGTGTCTGAAAATGGAAAAAATCTATCAGATTTACAGAAAAACAACTTCATAAAAAGTTCACATCTGGGGCAATAGATTTGGCCATGAAAAAAAATAAACTCAAAATTTTAATTGTTAAACTTGTCGTCGGGTTAATTCTACAACCCCGTAACTCGATTTTTGGCAAAATTGAGATTTTTATATCATTTTTTTCGTCTCAATGAGCTCTTCACAGTGAACATACTTATGTAGTTGTAGAACTAACATAAATAATTTTATTTCCAATTCCACAAACCCGTAACTCGCTATTTACATCAAACTTTAATTCTAGACCCCAGTAACTTCTCGTCCAATCAAACATTCTGATTTTGTACCACGTGATACATGACACATCTGTAATGGCTGCCTACTTATCACAACCAAATATTTGAAAAACTTTTAGTGATTTATTTAAAGATAATTATAGTAATTTTTACCTGAATGTAATATACATATATTGATGATTTAGTTTTTAAAGCTCTTACATCATTTTGAATTAATAGTAAATGTATTGAATAGATACATATGTAAATACTACATTTATTCGGATGATAACCATTTCGGACGGCCTCGATGAGTACTATTTTTGTTAATTTCCCTAAAGCTTCTGATTTTCAAGTTTTTACACTTTTTGAAAGGGTACTCATTAGCTATAAAGCTGAACCCATTTTTACATTTGCATTTTGATCATCCATGAAGTTATAGTTATTAGATGTTCTTGAATGGAAGACAAAATACCACTTTGTTTACATCTAGATGCTATCAGGACAAATTGTTTCAGATTCAACGCTGTTTTCTGAAGCACGAAAAGCATCTACTTAATGTACACTATAAATCAAAAATTGAAACATAATAGCAACATAGGTATGTGACAGAAACGCATCGTCGAATACCCACGGTTGATAAACATGTAACATAACAAGTGCATACTTTTGAAAAATTAATGTAGATTTCATTTGATAGTAGCATTGATTTTCAAACAGACGTGTAATATTTTACACAGTAGGAGAAGTTAATGATATTTTTTACTTGAATTTTTGCTATGTTTCTAGCCGAAAATTATTACACTTAGTCAATTTGCTTCAAATGTTTCAATTAGAACCCCGTATGTCGCTTTTATGGTGTAGAAATGACCTGAATGTTTTGTCAACAACCACGTATCTCTCGAATGGGGTTTTAGAATTCAGAATTTGTATGTATTTTCTTATTTATTATGAAAAATTGAAATTAATTATTTGATATTTTAGCTTTAAAATTGTATGCACAGAAATAAAATTTGGTACATATGTACAACATACAGATTTCTAAATTCACTGAAAATTTTATCTTTATACGGTTTATCATTAAAAAGTTATTACAGTACAAACTTTCAAATGCGATTTTCTAAAAATGACAAAAAATGACATACGGGTTTGTAGTATTAAGCCAACGTTGTATGTAACAAAAAGTACTCGACTAAACTCACACGCATCTTTATGTGGGTTCAATTGAATGGAAACAGAAGTCATGTAATGCTCCACTTGTAAATGTTGCAGGCGGCTCGGTTTGATTGAGCCTGTTCATGGACAGTGCTGGAAAATGCAAGTTACCGGCCACACCACCTAGAACAAGAATAAGTAGAATTTAACATTAAAAAAACGAAAATGGTGAAATTTTTAATGTAGAAACATCCGCAGATGTGTTCATACGGCGGTTACCATGGGACCTGTAATGTGACACGTAAGTGCCTTTCCAGGAAAAGCGGCGTACGGTCCCTAAAAAAATGCGTGTACTTCTTGACCTTTAACCAACCATAACCTTGATGCTGTGTCGTGCATATCATAAGCACATTTGCTCATCACAAAAGTATGTTACAGTTATTGACCAAATATCTGGCATATTCAAAAGGATCACTTTGTAGATCCTCTTATTTTGTTTATTCTGTTGGAATTTTTAAGTCAAAGTCTTGGTAACTATGGGTAATTTTGGATTGTGTATTGATATGTTTCTTACATATTTGGATGTATCATGTTTTAGACGAAAGTTGCTGTTCCGTGGGTGATAATGGTGATCATTTGTGATAATAAATAAAAAAAATCAGTAGTTGAGGACACAAAATTGTTGAGTTTTAACATTTGACCTCTATGTGTGACCTTGATCATGGGGGTAACAACCTGAATACTTCGCTTAAGACATCATGTCAGTATGGTTACCATTTATGTAAAGTCATTTTAAAACGTTTTAGAAGTTTAAAAGTTAAGGAGCGGACAGAAAAATGTGGACTTAATCATTTGACCATTTAGTGTGACCTAAACTTGGGAGTAGAAACACAATAATTGCGCTCTGTACATCGTCTCATAATGGTGATCACTTTTACCAAGTTATTTCAAAATTTAAAAGTAATTGAGCGGACACAAAAGTGATACGGACAGACAGACAGACGGAAGGACGGATGGGGGAAATTACTATAATTCTCTCTCCGCTTTGCGGAATGGGGTTAAATTTTAAAACCTTTAAGTTCCACAAGCACGATACAATACCATTTTTGTTAATGACAGCAAGATTAGTAAACGTAAATCTTCACCACAAATGTTTTGCTTATGATGAAAAATGACGGATAGCAACGAGTTGAATCGGGTTGAATAAATGTCGTTATCTGATTGGTAAACGGCCTAGGTTTAAATGACAGTGCGGATCTATAATTACACATGATCATCTTCATATATTCAAAAAAAATAATTGAAAGTCTTATTTATTTTATTAAATTTAGTATCCATGCAAAATTTTACTTTTTCTTATTAAAAGGAGATAATACAGGTAGACTTGACATTCGTTCTTGTTGCTTGGTCGTGTGGTGGTTGATCTTATCATAGTGAAAGCTCTGTAATACATCTATGTAAAATGAGTGACCCTAAAGCTGATTTTGACAAATACTTTTTTATACATATACTTATTAATATATTAAGTCATAATAAATTCAAAGATAATAATAAAAATACTTGTTTATTTTTCTTGGTTTGAATGCAAAACTTTACTTTATCTTATTAAAGGGAGATAATAAAGCAAGTATTGAATGCTCTGAAATGCATACATGTATATATGTCTGTGTAAGATGGGTGACCCCAGGGCAGGGCCATTTTTATCCAAATTTCATCAATTACATAACTTAAGGAGATGATCCACAAGGCAATTCTATGTGACAACTATCTAATTTCTGGACATTAAGGTTCCACAAAAGAAAAAAGTTAATTTGAATGTATTTTCTTATAAAAGTCTTTGTTAACTAAGTGACCCCTCCGGTGGACCTTATTGTTGCCCCGGGGCTATAATTGGAACAAAACTGGTAAAGGTCCACTAGATAATGTTTCATACTAAAGCCTCTATTGTATAGTAGAATAAATTTGTTTTTTTACTATATACATATAAGAAAAATAATTTACCCCGCACCCTGGGGAGGGCCAATTTTGACACCAGGGATTTTATTTGAACAAACGTGGTAGACACCTACTATAAAATATTTCATGCGCTAAATATCTTAGCTCTAGCTCTTTACGTTTTCTAAAAGAAGATTCCTTTTCTATATACATATCAGGAAAATCAATGACCCAATTTTGAACCCAGAGCTTTTATTTGAACGAATTTGTTAGACACCCCTTTACAGATGTTTCATGCAAAATATCTAAGCTATAGCTTTTTTTTCTTTCTTTTTTTAAGGAGAAACATTTTTGTTTTTACTATAAACATACAAGTACAGAAGTTGCTGAGCAATTAAGAAGATCCGCGCAAATAAATGCGCTTATTACAGATACCTTACCAAATCATTCCTACGTACAGGTCATGTGCTATTCGGATTAGGTACTATTGTACATTATTCCAGATTGATTAGAATCATTTTTTTTTGCATAATAATACTTATTTTATGCACGGTCCATGAGAGAAAGGCCAGATATCAAATTCAATAAAATATGCTTTCACTGATGCATGCATGGTAAGGAAAGGAATTTCAATACAAACAAGACTTACAAGACTTGTAAATGTAATGTGATATGACAGTAGTGCAACATTGTTCTGTTCACTACTGTAGTCAGTAATATTAGATGATAACAAATATCAAAGCATGTACATTTTCTTTTTCACATATAATGCTACTCAACTTTCATCGGCTTTAATTTTTAAAATGTCCGTTACATACATGTTTTGCGGCAAATCGTATATATCATTGGCATATTCACAAGAAAATCATTGATGCAAAGCACCAGAGAGCGTCAAAGCAAGAAATGCAGCAAATGACGATGAACTAGTAGACATCTGATGACTAGATATTCTTATAAACATTTCAATGGTTAACTGGATTTAACAAGAATTGTATATTATAGATAAATAGGCGGACGAAGGATATTGTTCATCATGAACTTTGGTAGGCTTGCTAGAGATTTGAATATTACATGTATTAAATGTATTTTAATGGAACATGCAAAACAGAATGTCAAAATGAACAAAGTCTGTTTTCTATCATTATAATTGTAACAAATATACAAACAGTAAATAAAATATTTACAAAAGGGACTAATATAGTAATATTGCATACTTTTTCCATGTCAAATAAAAAGAAAATGGTTTCTATTAATAACTTGGACTTAAGATACAGTAGCTATATTTCAAGTCCCAGATAAATACTGAAAGAAGAACACACACTTGAATGAAACAATTGGAATTTCAAAATGACCAAATTTAGGATTTGTTGTTATACATGTTATATGGTGCAAATATATTTATTAATATAATGGAAGACTGTTACCTGGATTTTAGAATGCACTTACATCATGTTCGTGCGAGTCAAACATATTAAAGCTACTTGACATTGGTGATAAATAAAGGGCTGTTGTTAATTGATTAATTGGGAGATAAATCTACCATTTTGTTGAATTGCTTCAAAATCCTCGACTGATTCACCATTGTGTTTACATTTATATCAATAAACCCAGAACACGTCAAGTTAAAATTGCAGACGATAGTTTCTGTTGCTAAAATATCACAGTATTCGGCAAATCAACATTCCACTCAAACCACCATAAAACCGATTGCCTTCAAACAAAGTAGAGTCAACTTCTTACAGCAAACATTTAGGAAATCAGGGTCGATTTAAATTTTCACGGTAAAAAATGTCAGAAGTGCATTCAGGGCCGGAAAAGACAATTTCAAAATGATAATACTAGTATGATATAACAATTCGTAAAAAATGACCTACCTATTTTTAATCGATTAATTTATAAAGAGTGCAATTTATTGTTGAATATGTTTGCATTTTATTTCCTGCAAAATTCTCCAGTTCGTTTTTTTCCATAGCCCGACACGAATAGCCGTACTTCTTCTATAAATAGATTTTCGGACTTTCAAAATGTAAAGCTAGATCATCTATTTATAGCTTTTGTTTACAGATACAAATGTAAGAAATAAATTACCGAATTTAAGTTGTTGTTGTTGTTTTTTTTGTGTTTTTTTTTGTCTTTTATACTGCCTACCCAGCGGTTGAGGCGTGAAATTTGTTCCCGTTTTCATTCATAAATATGACATGCTGGGAAACCAATATATGACTTTATTTTTATCTGTAAATCGAAGGGATTTATTGATAAAAATCGGGTACATGGACAAAAAAAATAGTAAACACAAATAGCAATTAGCAAAATCAATGACCCGTAGGACGTTACCAATTTTAATCTTTAGGATTTGATTTGAACAAACGTGGTAGTCACTCAATAAAGGATGTTTCATGCTAAATATCTAAACTCTAGCTCGTTTGGTTTCTAGAAGAATATTGTTTTTGTTTTTATTATATACATATAAGGAAATTCAATGACCCCCTGGGACTGAGCCTATTTAACTCCAAGGCTTTTATACATAAACATTGTATTAACAAAATGGTCAATTATAACGACATTTTAAAGATGGCAAACCAACTCTGTCACAACACACGAATATTTTTTAAGTATTTAATCAGAGAAATAGCAATAATCTGAGTCATAGTTTGGTGGACGATAATAGTCAAGAGGCCATATTGCGTCAAAGTATGTCATTCCATCATCGACGAAAAACTGACTTTGTTTTCTTCCGACTCTCGCTTTGCAGTGAGGGCAATCGATTTGACAACGAAGCATAGACTTATGAAGACATATTGCGAAAACTTTTCCCGCTTTAATGTCTAAAGAATAGTATTTTTCTCTAGGCAAAGGTAACTGTTTCCATGTTATAGATTCGTTTGGTTTGCGAAATAGCACTGCAGGACACGGAGTACATTCAAAAACAAAATTCTCGTTGTAACTTTTCCGATAATAACGGAACAACATCTGATGTTTAAAGCAATAATAAATTTCTTCATATTCATTATGTTCTAATGGGATTTCAGTGATTTCATACTTAATTGAATGACAAGGATCAATGATTCTCGTCAAGATGATGCATCTTGTATTATCATAAATCAAAAATACATTATTATATTCATATATTTGATCTTGAAGGGTCGTTGATTGTTCTATTTTTTCTAAATTGCATTTAACAAGATCGTAAATTGCAATAAATTTCTGTGACTTGAAGATAATTGCTATTGTATTTTGGCCTATTAAAACATTGTGTATTGTATCGTCCTTGAAAGAGAGAAGCGGTGACATTTCCACGTTTCCATTGGCAATGTGTCCAATATACAAAGTTGAAGTATGGATGTCAATTCTTCTTTCTTTATACAATGGTTGCATTGTAATGAAATTGTCAGTCACGTTTTGTGATCGAAGATCATTTATTTGAGAATCTTTGTTTGACTCTATTTCTACTAGTTCGTTTATTGTCGCAACAAACATATCTCCGCAAATTTTAAAACCGTCATTACTTCCGACACGGCAACTTTTGTCTATTCCTTTTATATTTAATTCCGTGCATTTATCCGTTTGTAAATTAAGAATTAAAATTGCTGACGTCCAATATGCATCTTTCGAGAACCAGATTTCCGGCCCGAAAGCAGTCGTGCATGTTCCTAAAATGCCTTTATAATGGTAAGAACTTTCTTCATCGAATGATTTGGAGTCAATGCGAAACCATTGTTCTCGTTCTAAATCCAGACACCAGAACGTTTCATCAGTATACATGTGGTTATTTCCTTTCATAATAAGGACACGACGATTTGGTAGAATAGGAGAAATTTGATCTAATTGCAAATGTATAACATCAGCATATTTGTGTGTAAAGTCTTGCAAAAGCGAGCTACTGATCTCGTTAAAATCGATGGTTGTCAGTAGTTCCTTCAAATGAACCTTTCTAGAATTTTCAGCTACATCTGACCATTTGAGTAGGAACAATAGTTTGTCGTCCATTGGTGCATATGATAGCCGTTTATCGGAAAACAGCATTTGTACCGATTCTTGTGTAAGATTTATCATAAGAGGATGATTAAGCATTTCTGGCAAGTTCTCTTCAATAAAATCTACACATCTTTTGATTTCAAAATCGTAAATACTGGATATTTGGATGATTGCCAAGCAGTTGTTTTCTGTTATCACCGTTGAATTTAGCCAGGTTATACAAGCAGCCTTTAGATTTGGTATAAGAAGGAACTCAGCCATCTGTAGAACATTCTCAATATTTTCCAGACTAAATTTCGGTTTTTGTCCATAAAGGTACATTATAGCTGTTTGAAGCGAATTTGGTGTACCAATTGTCATTTTAATTTCTCCTTAAATACAAAATATGATATAATTACTGTTTAACTGGTTAATACTATTCCAAATACAAAAGGCCTATATTGCTAACATAAGAATTGATGGATATACATATATAATTGCCAAACTTCACGATGAACCTCTGAATAATTTCTCATGTACATTTTATACCAAAGTCTTAAGCTTTATGACCACATTAAAAGTAACAGTACAGTTTTGCATCATTTGTACATATTCACTTCTTTATCCGTTTATATAATTTTGAATAACGAAAGAATAATTAAAGCAATACAAGGGCAATCAGTGATGGCATGTGTCGCCTCATAATAGACAATTGCATGTTGCAGCTACAGTGTAGCAGGAGACCCAAAAATCATTAACAGGGAAAACACAACATTTATTCAAGGCCCATAACTCGGCTGAAAATCCTTCAACCGGTAAACCCGTGTAATATATGCAAGTACTTCAAGTAACCGATCATTAGTGGTATAAAAAGGGTAGTCCGGACAAACTTTCAAAATTAAAATCATTTAAGTGCCATTACTCTGACAATATTCATAAAATCAAAAACATTTGGGTGAGGTGCACCACTAGACATAGTATTGATTATTCTTGTTGATGAAAATGCACTAGTTTCTGAAGATTAGTCCAAACAAGTAGCTGGCAACAAGAGAAAAAAAAACACCTTTTTTATTGAAGGGCCATAACCCTGCCAAAACAAGAATATTTAAGTGGAAAACCTGTGTGAAATGCGTAAGTACTTGAGATACTTTTCTGTAAAGTTTCAATGAAATTGCATCATTGGTATAAGAGGAGTATTCTGGAACAACTTTATCACCACCTTTATATTAAAGGGCCAAAAATCCGCCAAAAATTATTCAAGCGGAAATCCCGTTTGATATGCGCAAGTACTTGAGTTACCAATCAATCTTGGAAAGTTTCAATGAAATTTTTCATAAGTAGTATAAGAGGAGTAGTTTGGAAATAGAAATAATTAAAGGGCTAACTCTGACTAAATCATTGAACCGGAAACGATATGCACAACTAGACTTGATATTGATCATTCCTGTAAAGTTTGGAGTAGAAGTCCGGACCAGTTTTTGGACGGACGGACAGACAGACGGGTGACGGAGAAGTCATGCTTATATGTCGCCAATACTCCTTAGAGGCGACACAAACAAAAATGCTTGTCATGCACTCTGTTTAGATGAAATAGCACCAGTAGTTTCTAAGAAGTAGTTCGGACAAGATTCAGTGTATCTGGCGACACACAAAAACCTTTTTATTTAAGGGCCATAACTCCGCCAAAAATCATTCAACCGGAAAATCCGTGTATAATGCGCGATAACTTGAGCTACAGATTTATCCTGTAAAGTTTCATTGAAATTGCATTGAAAGTGGTATCGGAGAAGTCATCCGGACATTCTAATAATTACGGATAGTACTTCGTCGGTTGCTTCTGAGAAATATGCATTATGAGTCAAAATACAGAGTCAATTTAAAGCTACATATTTGTCATTTTGTTTTACCTTGAGAACTCGCGTATCACGATTTTACTATTGACATTATTTTATTGTCTTAAGCTTCAAATAAATGTATTGTGTAAAGTGATACCTGCTTGCTTTTCCAGGAAACTGTCGTTAAGTACGTGGTCAAAAAATGGACTTATCACTAGAACACACCGATGGAATTTCTTCTCCTGTAAGAAGTATTAATCACAAAATATATTAATTAAAAAGCACTGATTTTAATTGCGAGAGGTCATCAGAAATACAACCATTCAGAAGATGGCCCTAGAGGATATATAAATGAGTAGGTTTAATACTAAATTTATTAAACGAGTTAAAAAAAAGATATTTTGTATTAAATCTATATTAATATAATATTATATTTCTCACAAGGTTGATTTACAGTAAAAAGGGGTCTTTTTCAATGACGCGACAATAGTGTTATGCCAATATAAGCGCTTTTATAACGCTATGTTTGCCTATATAACGCAATATTGTACTGTTCTATTGCTTTATAACACTCGTGCCGATAACTATGTATATTCTAATAAAGTGTGTGCGGCTGTAATCTTTATTCTGCTTTTATTTTACTGTTGTTCTTGTTGTTGAAAGTTTTCTTTGATTTTGCTTATAAACGAAACATTCTGGTACAGCCATTTTTATCCAACAATGGAACCAAAACATGGATACAAGCGACAGATCCATTTTGATAAAATGATAATACTTAATAAAATATTTATCAATTCAAAACAAATAAAGCATAGTTGTATGTATGTAGTCAATGACTTTTATCATTACAAATATTCATATGCAGTATGAAAGAGATTAACGTTCAACACTGTGTACATTATTTTAAAGGAAGTCTTGACATTTTACATGCTTCTTTTGTATAATCAGTGCGCAGTACTTTTTCGGAATAGGTATAATCAGTGCGCAGTACTTTTTCGGAATAGACATTCTTATTTTGTTAAATAATGAATTGTATTCAAAGATTTTATTAGCTGGTAAAACCTATGTAAGGTTTTGTGCAACAATCTTGAGTGACCGTCTTTATTTCCAATTATGGCATGGTTTGGAACTTTTTCTTTGTTCTTACTAACCCATTTCACTCAGTACACTTCCAATGAGCATTTGAAAACTGTATTGATATATAGCAGTACTGTTTTTTCATTGATTCTTATAGGAAAAAAACTTAACTGCTGAATGACTTATTTCCACTGTAAAAAACCCATAAATCTTGTATCTGAATAACTTTCTCCACACACTATCAGTTTACAATCCGTCTCTATCATTGGACGTTTTTTTAAGTTTTCTATATTATATACAGCTGGTAGCTTACGACATCATTAGCTGGTATTGGTTCATATTATCTGGGAGTGAGAAGGTGAAAAAGTGAAAGGGTACAAGAGAAAGAAATGCAAATTTCTACATCATACCCAAGTTCCCATTTTGACCGTTACATCACACAAGGTAGACTGCTCTTCTACCTGTTGAACAAGATATTTTAAGGCATATTCTGGACTACAATCATTAATGTCGCACTCCATGTTTTATCATGTATAACTTCAACTGAAATGAAATTCATTTATCTCATTGTTAAACATGTATAAACAGACATAATTTAATTCTTTACCTACCGATTAAAGGTTGATTCATAATGACTCATTAATGGTAAACGGATTAATTTATATCAGTCCAGTAAATCGACAGTTTTATGAAACAATATATTGGTTAGTGTTTATATTAAGTATTTATTTAATTTAAGTGGTCGAATGGCTGTGCCGTTCTTGACCAAAAGCTTTGTATTAAACACTAACAAATACTTATTCTTAGACATAAGTCGGGTTCATGATACGCTAATATATATCAATTTATGGTAAACATAAGTTGTTTATTATAAGAAATAAAATTAAAATATCCTACCTCGATCTGCACCTATGCAAATGTTGTATACACAATGAAATAAAAGACTTAAAGAAAACCAATCCGACATTCACCGTATCTATTATCAGAATGAGGGTTTGTTTTGGAGACACGTAACCACACGGTACATTATATAATACTGTTATCTTTATATACGTGAATTTCGTCTTGTTGTATAAACCTGAAGGATCTGTTTTCAATCCTTTTTTAAAGAGGAATGCGAGCTTATATCTATCTCAGTAAAAGTATACATAATCAGCGTAGTCACGAAATATTCTTGTTGTTGATGATGATGATTTTATGTTTCGGTGATTGACCAACATAATACAATATGGGATTTTCATAAACGTTGCAGTGATTTTTGTTTGTTTTGTTTTTGTTTTGTTGTGTTGTTTTTTTTTAATCTTTGTTAATGACGATATCGAAGAGCTAGCCAAAATGCGAGCATAACGGTAATGGGGTATCTTCATAAGTGATGGTTTTGAACAGTTTTGTCGGAAGTACATCAAAATCATGGGTAATAAGTCAGTCTGGAAGGCTCTCTCTTCTGTCTAATTATGGTTTCCATTCTAAGTTAAATTCAATATCCCTTGTCGGTAAACATCAGTATAAATAGTTTCGTTCCAACTAAAACTATTATCGAGGTCCCCTGTATGAGTGTTAAAGCAATTGGCACGCTAAATCTTTCTGTATCTGTGTTTTGCATTATCCTCCATAATCTTAAATGGCTAAAACACTTTGATGACACGCCCATGTGGGCAATGGATGGCGGGCAAAACTAAATTCAAATACACACACTCATTTTCCCGAAATGCGACTCTCAGCGCGTTAACGATCGTTTTAAAGTACTTTAAATTTTGACTGATTCACGTATACCGTACACTCTTTGATAAACAACTTCTCATGATATCCTATTCCCGAAATGGAATTATTAATACCGAAATTTGATTTTTAGTGAATTTATGTACTCCGATTAAGATATGATATAAAACATGAAGTGACCGTATTTTGAAAACACATAGTGTGTAGGAGTGTTGAGGGAATTGTGCCGCCGAAAGTGTGCAGTTATAAACAATAATTATAGAATAAAATACTCGGGGTGTTAAAAAGGATACGACATATCAAAAACTTCTCTGCTCGATAAACTGTTGCATTTCCCTTTAAAGAAAAAATGTGTTTGTTTATTTATACAAACTATATGTTTCGAACATGGACAATCATTTATAAATTGAACAGTCGATTGAATATATCGCAAACGCACTATGTTGGTTTTGTCGTGACACGGCTCATATTTAATGCGAATATGAGTTGCTTCCTCCAGTCGTTCTAGGTACGCAGTGACGGCTATTGAAAAAAATAACTGTTGATATATTAATCATTTACACATCTTTTGACATAAAAGGAGAAAAAAAAACATTCTTTTCATACTTTCTTACTTGATAATTTGATAAATTTACGCTATCATCATTATTTGGATAGATGCGATAAAATAAAAAAAAAAATGGAAACTCAGAAACATAATTTTTTCCAAATCATGACGAGTTAAGTAAAGCCTATTTTATGTATACCATTTGGGTTTTTTTCATCCGTTTTGTAGTTTGTAGACTCAGCTATATTTTCAGTTAATTCACCATTTAAGAAGTGTCCGCATCCTTATCATATCCGAATTACCTTCATCTACTTAGTATGTAGTTGAGTAGTTCGTCCGCTGGTGGACACAGGGAGACAAGGTGTACCAATGTTGAAGAACAACTCTGCCTTGCTATATATCCGATATATTTATTCCGGAAAAGTGTTTTCTGTTTGTTTGTTGTTGTTGTTGTTGTTGTTTGTGTGTTTTTGTTGTTGTTTTTTGTTGTTGTTTTTTTTTCATAATCTGCACGGACAAGATTGTAATTTTTTTGTTTTAAGTATATAGAGGATATTGAATGAGTGTAGGTTTAATACTAACTTTATTGAACGAGTTGAATAAATCATATTATGTGAGCCTCTGGCGAGCATAATATTGCTTTATTCAACGAGTTTAATAAATTAAGTATTGAATCTACACGAATATAATATTCTATTTATCACATATATAAAATAAGAACGGTAAACTGTTTTTCTTTGACGCACCTATAGTGTAACGCTAACATTAGCGCACTTTTACGCTATGTTTATAGCGCAAATGACGTGACGTCAGAAGTGTTATTACACTAGTGTAATATCGTCTAGTTTAATATCGTTTTTATTAAATGGCTTTATTACATGCTTTTCGGTGGTTTATAGAAATATATCAGTGATATAAAACTGGTAATTTCACTGTTTGAAACAGTGAAATTACCACTTTGATAATTTCACTGTTTTGAATTTAAGCCCCTTACGTTGTTTCATTGAAATACCAGCGTGCACAGAACTGGGTACCAACTTAATGACGTGACGTCGTAAATGACGTCACGTTGTATTATTATTTGGCGCGCTTTTCATTCAGTTTTAGGTTTATGTTTTTTTTAAACGTTTCTTTGCATATAATAAAAAGAATTTGTTTAGTTTAGTGTAAGATCGAAATATATTTCACCGAGTGAGCACCAAAAGGTATATTTCACGAGTGGCGCAGCCACGAGTGAAATATGAACTTTTGGTGTTCACAAGGTTGTTGTTTATTCTGCCTAAGACTGAAGGTTTCACAACTCTTAATGATAAAAATTTATTTTCGGTAAAGCAGAGCGAATTAGAAAATAAGTTTATTTAACAGCTGTGATTATTAATCGAATGTTATTATTATTGCAATGCGATTATTAAACAAAATGTGATTATAAATAAAATGTGATTTTAATCAAATACGATTATTCATAACATAATGTGATGTAATTGTTAATCCAAAGTTATGAAAATTGAGCAAGTATATAACTCTTATTTAGATATAAATTTATGTATACAGGGAATAAGAGTCATGTAGTTAAGGGTCTACACGACCAAGCATTAACAGCATACCATAATCTGATATTTTTATTTAACAAAGTGAAACTTGATGTTAAAGCAGATTCTTGCTGATTTTCACGAAAATTTTGAAAATGCGTTTAAATGTAAAGTATTTTGAAGTAAATAATATATAATAATTAGCACATTGCAAACAGAACGTACATGTCGAGTTAATCACTCCCCCCCCCCCCCCGCAAAAAAAGAGGTTGAAATATATATAAAAAAAACCCATGCTGCGTCAGTCACGCAGTAGAAATACGGTGATAAAAGTCAGAGTCAGTTATTAATTGCATATAACATGTAAATTATTTCTAGAATCTTGAATCGTTTTACTTTTCCAAAAATCTTAATTTTTTCTCAAGATTGGTTTTCTTGGAATATTTTATCTTATTTGGATGCATACAACTTTAACATTGAATTATTATCTTTTGAAACGATAGTGGTGCCAATACTTTTATTTCGTTCAGAGATTTTGGGAGTACAGGTATAACTACAAAGACGTGGACAAATTACACATAAGATTTTGTAAACATGTGGTAACAGTAAAACAACAAACACCAAACTACGCGGTTATCATCTCTCTGTTTGATAATTGAGCCGCGTCACGACAAAACCAACATAATGGGTTTGCGACCAGCATGGATCCGGACCAGCCTGCGCATCCGCGCAGTCTGATCAGGATCCATGTTTTTCGCTACCAGTTTCTTTACTTGTTATAGGGTCTATAAGCAAACAGCATGGATCCTGATCAGACTGCACGGATGCGCAGGCTTGTCTGGATCCGTGCTGGTTGCAAACGCATTATGTTGGTTTTGTCATGACGCGGCTCAATTAATGTTTAGGAAATGAAAATAAGGGTAATCTTGAATATTCTGTGATCATCGACAGATTAGGAAACAGCATTTAAAATAGTTCAAATAAAGGTATGCTATTTTGTTTATTCTAAGAAATCAGACAGTTTCAAGATAATTATGTTTCTTAATTGTCTACAGTAAGTGTACTAGACTCCAATAATAAACAATTTCCAACCTACTGTACACTAACTGGAAATAACTCATCTTCTTTTACTCCAGTCCAAATAATCCGTATTAACCTTTTCTCTGCCAGAGGGTTATTGTTTTATTGTTCACCTATTTGCCAGAGGATTTTCTAAGAAATTACTATAGAAGTACGCATGCGCAAGAAAATGGTGGTTCAATTTTTTGAAAAGAAAGAAAAAAGGAAAAATATGGATTAATTAAGGATTATTTTGATTTATATGTGATAAAACAGTTGATAGTTGATACATATCTATACATTCATGCCAAAAAAACGAAAAAAATCGAAGGAATCGCCAGAAAATAGCCAGAACATTTCAAAACGTTTGTCAACAATGGCACAAAATGGCGCGATTCTAGGTGCTCAAAGCCTTCAAAATGGATTAAAAAATGGATCAAGTGGACAAAATGAGGTAAATGCCCAATACCAATCAAGTGCAAACTACAATTCACAACCTATCTATTACTCAGATACGCAGTATATGGCAATGAACTCTGCCTCGCCTGTGTTCACAGGTAATACCCCACCCACACCGTGTACACCGGTAGTTCAAAATACAGGTCAAAATCAAGGGTATAATCATAATATCATTTCTATGTTGTTACAAAGGCTTGATTCAATGGACAAAAAGCTATCACAATTAGATAATATCCAAGCTGGAATGAACGTTTTAACGGTACGCATGGACACAATGGACCAAAAGATCAACTCCTTTAAGGTCAAAATGAGTGACATAGAGCAGAGTCGTTCGTTTGATAGTGATATTTTTGAAACTATAAACAAAAGGCAAACAGAATTAGACACGTTGTTAAAGTCGATGAAAAAGTCCGAAAAGGATTCACGGGAAAAGGAGTTAGAGTTACGGGACGAAATTACAGATATAAAATGTCGAAGCATGAGGGATAACTTGTTGTTTTTTAATTTGCCTGAAGAATAAGATGAAAACTGCGAGCAGAAAGTACTTAACTTTATTGAAAATGAGATGAAAATATTGGACGCCAAAGAAAATATAAAACTATATCGAGCTTATAGACTTGGCGTGTACAGAAGTACCAAAGTTCGCCTAATTGTTGCTAAATTTGCGTATTTTACGGACCGAGAAAAAGTAAGAGCTTCAGCAAAAA